GGAGGTGGTGCGCTGCCGGGGGGCACCGTGCCTTGAGCTGGCACCGTCGCTTGCTTGCCGTCCGAAGGCGCGCTCTCCGCCATGTTGACGATCTGTGAAATGGCGGTGTGACCGCGCATTGCCCGTTGGAGTTTTTGCGTTTGAGAGGAGAACCTTGAAGATAGGTCCTGACCAACCGTTGGGGAGACAGGGTGCCGCCAAAGTGAGTGAAACCCTGGGAGTCGACAGAGTGCAACGGCCGTATCGAAGTCGACGGTGGATGGACATGTGTGTTTTTGTAGCCTGGCCATGGTTCACCAGTTCGGAGCGATTTCCTCTTTGATGGACCCGGACCAGGAGGGGCGGTTGACACGAGGCGGTCCCCAGAAAATTGCCGACGATGTGCCGTCACCTCTGGGACCTGGAGTTTGTATCGGATGCTGATTGGTGGATGACTTGGATACGGCGCGGCTGTACCCGTGTGACATGGATGGCGACTGTGGGAGAGAAGTGAATTCTCGGGATGAATCCAGCGTCTGACCGCAGATGGGCCCAACTGGCTGGAAGTGTGAATCCTGTGAGTGCACGCCCAGAATTTCAGAGAACACTCAGTCCAGCCGCGGACTTTCCCTTACGATGAGTGCCTAAAGTCTGGCGGAAAGTGTCTCTGGAGAATGTATCCCAGAGTACGCCTCATCTTGCTGTGGCTCAGAGTGCCCCAGAGGATCAAATTACCCTGAGAATCAACCCACTACCGCCATGATCATGCGCAGGAGGCCGTTAAACCCGCTAAAAGTGTGACTTTGTGGAGATGCACGCAGGCCTGCAATGTAGCAGACTTGTTACCCAGAGTGCTGCACGGAAACCCAGAGTGCCGCACGATGACCCAGAGTTCACCTCCCTGAGTGCAGGTGACCCAGAGTTCCAAAGATGATTCTCTGGGTTTGGACCATAAATCCAGACTCTCTATACTGAACTTAAGTGTTTCCCGAGCAAACACCCAAGAATCCCCACAGTTCCCCAGGATTCCTCAGAATTCCCAGGATTTCAGAAGATGACCCTGAGTGTCACCTGGTTTTCAGGGATTCGAGCCAGTTCGAAGCCAGTCTGCAGTCAAAATGATGCGTGACCTTGAAGAACCGTCATGGATGCACAGACTGGATACTTTCGAGGAGTCGAGAGGGAGTCCTGCACCATACTAAACCAAGTCTAAGGACCCACAATTGGCACTTTCGACGCCGTGCGACAATGGATTCGCAAGCCGATCGCAAGTTTGGACCGCTGATCCCAAGGTATACTCAAGACAAGACATTTTGACCCCAAGCATAGTGAACAGAAGATATTTGCCCGAAGAAGAGAGAGAGAGAGAGAGAGAGAGAAGTAGCTGATAAAAACCAAACAGAGTTCCTTTTACCCTGTACTGCGCAAGTGACTTCGGCCAAGCCTGCCGACGGAAATCCGGAGGACCCGAGACTACGACCGCGGGACGCTAAGGGCACATCAACGGTGAAGGACAGCCGTCTGTGTGGGCTCCATCAAACTCAAGTCCAGTTAGGTGGTGACCAGCGACGGCCTTGAGCTTCCTGGGGTGATCCATCTATTCCATATCCTAGTTGGGTCACTTGCTGTGCTCGTGGTAGCCCATTTCATATTATTCCAGAGGGTATTCTGGGGTGCTAGGTAGTCGCCTCCAGGATTTTGTATTGACTGCTTGTGTGAAGGGAAGGTAACTGATAGTGATTGTATTTTCCTCCTTTATTGGAGGTGGTGCGCGTTTGTGTGAGTCTCAGGGGAGCTAGGCCCCTGAATTTCAGACTCGAGTGAGCCTAGTGTGTGTGTGACCCACCGTCCAAGGGTCCAAAAGAATAAGTGACGGCTAGTTGTAGTGTTTGTATACTCCGTATTTGTTGGTTTTATCGAGCTAGGAGGGCATTTGGGTAAGGTGTCTTCTGAGTTCCAAGTCCCAGAGTTGACTGAAATCCTGGACCCTGAATTCGTGATATTCTGGGTTTCAGGGGATCTGATTCTCTGGGTTTGCCTTTTGGGGTGGAGGTGCGTTCTGAAGTAGACGTGCGCTCCCGCACTTCTTCGAGGCTACATTTTCAACCGGTGGAGTGCCGTTCCGTCGAAGACAAACGAGCCGACAGGGATTACACAAGGTACCCACGCCAACCAAGGAGTGTGATTCTCAGGGTTTAAAGCTTTGCGGCTGCGAATATCTGGGTCCATCTTCTTGCTGTTGACTCTCAAGTCGATTCTCTGGGTCTACCCCTGGGGAACAGTCTTGGGCTGCGCTATACGAACCCCCCTGGGCGACAAAGGTTTCATCGGCCTCGCCTCACCGCGAAATAAGTGCCTAAATATACGCCACCAGGTCAAGTACCTGGGGCCTTCTCTCTAAACAAAAATAAAACGTTGTACATCGTGCTACACTTCCCGAAGGTTGACATCAACCTTATTGTTCTTCAGAAGAAGAAAAGTTGATTTACTACATGTAGTTAGTGGGCATGCCGTTTAACCTTATTGTTCTTCATAATGTAGATTCCTGCAACGTTCATCCTTACATTTAATTACCTAAATTTGTCTTGAAATTTTTGACCAGACATTGAGTTCGAGCGCAATTACATCCGCCATTCCACCAAACAAAGAATGATAAACCTTAAAAGGCGACACAAAGTTTGCTTGCGTACTGGAAGCATGTCACGATTGATACAGATTTAGCCAACATACTTCAATTGAAGTACTACACTACGAAGTTAAAAAGGCGAGAGTACCTCGGCGGTCCTCATTTGAATTTTGAGCGCTACTTACGGTACCATTTGATGAATCTCTCCATACAACTATGTTTCCCGAGGGCGCGAAGAGCTAACCCAAAGTTTGAAAGTCTCCTCACGATTTCGTTTTGCGGATAGCAAACAACGTGCTGCTACCTGTAAAATAGTGGATTGTCCGCCTTCGCTTCCATTACACATGCTCATCGTGCGGTGGTGCTGATCACTACAGACCCTGGTGAACTGCGTCGGGTCCGGTCCGAATGCAAAATATCCCACCCTAAATGCTTTGCCGATTTATCGCTGGATGCAAATTCGTTAATCCGTACTCATCGTGATATATTAGTAAATGGACATACTCTAATAGTCACAAATTTTGACTTAAAAAAACTACCCCCTGCTACTCGCAGCCAGCTGTGTTAATTAGTTTCTAGATTCCAACAGTAAAGCCAATATCAGGCTTGGCGTGCTATGTGAATTGTTTTTAGATATTGTGCTAGTGCGGCACACCCAACTCCCAAAAAGAAAAGACAGGGGAAACATGGGGGGAACGCCATTTGCGGATAATGAGGAAACTGGCAAATGGTTTGCTGAAACTTAACCAACCTGAATTGCATCCCAAAGGTAGTCTTTGCTAGTAACTGATCACGACTTCGGACTTACCGTTTGGGGCGAAATAGTAAGGTGCACGATAGTTCAAGTTCATAGATAAATATATATTCTAAACTGACAGGTTAGCAGGCTGAGAACCGAAGCGTAGCTTGGCAAGCGCATGCACAGGACTATCAGACACAAACAATTGTCGATTGATGTCTGCAATAAGACATTGTACATGTACTATGGCATAATAATGACCGAATCGAGGCACAGCTTTTCATCGACCCTTGCATCTTACTACAAGCAAAATAGGTGAAAAATGGCGTTTACAGGGATACTGGATCAGAAACCGATTCATCTTGTTGCAATCTGTTTGGAATCGCCGAAGAAAGATCTGAAGTGGTTACAAGGGCATATAAAGGCCAAGTAATAAGAATACGTCGTAGCGCGCAAGTCTCATTTTGAAGTCAAAGCATTTCTTTTACAGAACAAGTGGTACTTGAAGTTCCAGTGCTGTCAATTCCAATCAGCTCGTACTGTCTTCGGAGGGTAATCAGCGTTAATAGTCCGTCAACTAGGGCTCCGCGAAGGCTAGGATAGGAGGATTTTAGTATAAAACCCTTCTTTTTATTTTTATTAATTACTTTTCTTATTAGCTACGGCCATCTCCTGCGCCTGCTTCGCAGCCGCAGCAACTGCCCGGAATTTTGCCGTAAAACTTTAGATATCAACTGGCAATGCTTTAGAAAATTAAAATTGCGAGATCTGTTTGCAGCTAAATGCTTATATCTAGTGCTATTTTAAGTCCTTACCTCACTTCGTCCATCAGCTCACGATATGTACTGATTCATACTAGTGTCGTCGGTAGCGCACCGGTTCGATCTGCCCACTTTTGGAGGGCCCAGTGCGGCACCGGCGTCATACAAGTGTGATGAGTATCCTACCGGTTCATTTTGCCCGCCCACGCATATAAACCTTTTGGAGGGCCCAGTGCGGCACCGGAATCATACCGGTTTCAAGAAAATGCACCAGTTAGATGTCAAGAGGGGTCATCGTTTGACGTGATGTACCACGGATATAATCCGATTTGGTCTGCGATAGCAGCACTAACGTTGCTTCCTATCCCAGTATAAAACTCACTGGTACTGAAGATGGTCAACGTCGTTACGCATATTGTTATTGTGCACTCGCAATAATATATCGATTCCGTTTCGTAAGGTAAGTACCGCTAACAAACTAAATAGCAGTCACACCACCATTGTGCCTCAAAGTCCCTAGGAAAGGTAGTTCGGTTCTTTCAGGTTGGGTAATTTTCGTCGAACCATTCACGAATTTCCTGGTCTACGCTAGAAGACTTTACCCAATGGTCAAATCCATCCTTTACGTTTCTTACCGCATCGCCGCTGAGATTGGGGCGGTGAGCGCGCAGCAGAAGCATCATATCAAAATGTCTTTCACGTAATGCCGCCACAGCAGCAGTCGCGCTACTGGTCCTGCAGTGCATCAATAGAAACCGGACCACCCCGAGTTGGTTGCGGGTATTCTCGACGCGAGAACGACTGTAGCTAGCGGCTTGAACCAACGCTCGTTCTGGCCGGTACTCGAGCCGATGTGAATACAGCCACCAAGATGCCCATTCTTAGCTGCACCCTACATAGCCTCGGACGTACAACCCCCCCCCGCCCCGTGAAGCCACTTGACAATATCGAACCGACCGTCACTGGCAGCATTATCCATCGCCTGCGGTGAAGGTCTCGCCGTAGTTATTTCGCAAAGCCATCGCATGACGGGCAAATTTCTCGAAACTGCTGCAATGTGCATTGCCATATTCGTGCAGCCTTCCGTGCGGTTCGTTTTCAGCCACTCAAGCACCGCTATCTGGTTGTCCACGAATGAGAAAATATTAATTTCATGTACTTTTCGGATGAATTCCATGTGAAACCTTCAAACGGAGGAATTGCACGTACGGCGGATGAATTGCACTGACATATGTAAACCATGCCACCACGACTTGAGCCCTGGGCTGCACGCGCTGATCGGGCCTCTTTCAATGCTTACAGCCTTGGTGTCCTCCGTTTACTACGTACGTCTACGTGTGACTGGCGTTAACAGTGAAAAATAAAAACAAGGTTGCTGCGCTTTGGCTGGGAGACCAAATTTCTACTTAGTGTAACAGTCTAACTGGTACATCTGGCCTAGAATGCATGAAGATCGGGGCTTGAAGTTGAGCACGTCAGTGTGGACCACGCGAGGGAGCTGAGGGATCTGCAGCAGTGCAAGAGGTCCAAATGGAAGTCAGTCCAGAATGAGGCGAGTAGCGAACAGGACAAGCGAGAGACGGTAGCGAACAGGACAAGCAGAGAGCAGTACATGACGACGGCAACGGTGGACGGATGACGGCGAGCGTCGAGCAACGGTAGACGGATGTGGCTGGTGGTGGAGCACGGGCGGGCGATGGACGAAGTTGCTGGTAGGGTCCGCGCGGTAGAGCTGTGGCTCGAGTTTGCTGATGGCTGCACGAGGTACGGGTAGGCGCGCGTGGGCGTATTCCCGGTGGCTAAGTGAGCGTCGCAGCAGTTTAGTTCGTAGTTTGCTAGTGATGGTCGAGTAGTTGCATTTGCGTTCTAGTGACGAGCGGTGGACGAGCAAGTGCGAACGATGGTGAGCGGTGACGGACGAACGAGTGTCGATGGACGAACGGTGATCGGGTGACGAACGAGACGAAGACGAGCAATATAATTGGAGCCCCGCGAGGGTGCCTCCGCCGCGGAGACGTCAGTTGAGTCTCCGTCGGTCATCTGGTGTTGTTCATATGTGTAGGACATGCACAGACACTGATCGAGCTAAGTGTCTCCGAGGTGTCCATGAAATCGAGATGCCTGAGCTTGTACGACCCGCTAGCAAGCAGGCGACATGAGACTTGTTACATTAGTATTTTTTATCGTGGAAGTGAAAGTTCTGCATGGTTGTTCACAGACAGATAGTTTCCACTAAAGATGTTCAGATGCAGCCCTCCGCAATCTAAAACTCTTTGAAAGTCGACGCGTTTACTTCTAATTCGCATTTGTATCGAACATGTTGTATATTCTTTAGAGGTCGATGCAGTAGTTGGTGAACTGCCTGTGGAACTACGCATACTGCAGCTTTCGAGAACCCTAGCAGTCGGAGGCAGGCAGATGCTGCGGCTGCGAAACAGGCGCAGGAGATGCCTGTGGATGGCGGTTTTGTAGCACAAAAAAAAAAAAAAAACCTAGGACAAAATTTGAGTCAAGAAGCACGGTTAGTTGATGATAACTACGGCCATCTACTGCGCCTGCTTCGTAGCCGCAGCATCTGGCCGGTAATGCGCAACTGGAGAAGTACGAAATGATGTTCTAGTCAAATTGAAACGAACAAATGTCTGCCTACTTTCTTAAACTTGTGAAGAGCGAAAAACTTCCAAAGACGTGTTTTGTTTTTGAGAAGCTTTTGTACCATCGCTAATTGCGATTTCGATGTCTCCTGAACGTTACCTGTAACTGGGAATACATTCGTGACGAATTAAAGTTTGTGAGGCTGGTAAACCAGCAAGCTGGTCTCCCAGGATAAAATAAAATACTACGTCTACGGCTTGAGCAGCGGACTGACTGTACGTGCAGTTTCGCTTACTTTAGACGGCTCCCCCGACTACAAGTTGAGCAACGAGCTGCACATACGTCACGCTTGCGACTACGAAGACGAATAAGTGAGCTGCACGTTCAGTCTCGTCCGTCGACTACAATTACAACGACAACAACGACAGGAAAGAATACATTAATATGTGTTCTGCCTGTGATTGATCATACTCCAGCAATATTACGAAGTAACCTTACAATTTTTTAAGTTTTGCTTTTTACAGCATTTCCGGGCGCTATCGCTATCGCTGCGTTACTGGAAGTATTGAACGAACCCAAAACCCTTTCCCTACGCTCAAAGTTGTCGGAGAGCGACAGTGAGGTCCCGGTGGGAGGTAAACTGCTGTTTCTCGTAGTTTTCGCTGACGCGACGACACAGCTGCGGTGGAGATTCTCCACTGGAGATGCTCCACTTACCTCACACCAAGTTCTTTAGCTATCCCAGCCTACACATAGCTCTCGTGTATCTATCAGGTAGAACGGTTATCCATAACTAGTTAACGTATTTCCCAGTCGGAAATCACCTGATGACCTGATGCTTGCTGTATTGCTTGGTTAATTTCCCATCGAAAATAGTGCGGTTCTGTATCTTCGACAGACTCCACCCATCGCGTCTGACAGAGCGAAGCCCCTCGACCAAATAAACTCAGGCAGAACCGTCGATCCAGTGCAACTCAGTTGGCATGCGCGACTCAAAGGCGTGTCCTCAACTATCAGGTCGGAGATGTCAATGTCGACACCGTCGGGAACATTCGTCTTGAGCTTCTTGCGGAGAAGCAGACGCACGACAAGAATTGGCGACTCCTCCATTCTTCTTCTTCCCAAGGAAAGAGAATGCCGTATGAGACGGTTGCATGCAAAAAAAGTGAAAATGAGAGTGAGGGGAGCAGCGAAAAGAAAACTTCTCTTTTTATACAAGCTTTTCTTTTGGGTGGAGCGAAAATTAAAGAAGCGTGGGTTTCTGACGAATTGACGGCGTTAAAACTTACTACTACATGGCTTACTCCGCAGCTTACAAACATCCAGTTGCCGTGTTTCAAGTCTGGGATATTAGCGACGATGGCCGATTACCACAACTACCGCTGGGGTCTTTGATCTCCCTCCGTGACGTCGCAGCAGCGAGACCACCTGCGAGTGGTTATTCATAGTCGCGACAGCCATGGGCGTTACTTCCTCTTCGTTCTCCGCGTTCACGTTCGCTCTGTTCTTGACCAGCGCTCGAGCCACTTCAAGCTGCCCGTACTCGCTCGCCAGATAGAGAGCGGTGGCGCCGTCGGGTAGACGCCTGTCCACGTAGGCTCCTCTTTCCAGCAGCATCTCCACCATGGCCTTGTGTCCACGCCACGCCGCGCACATGAGCGGCGTCCAGTCCTCTCCATCAACAGCTTCGATGTCCGCTCCGTGGTCCAACAACATCCTCCCCATCTCGGCCATACGCTAGTTGGATACGCACTCAGCCTCGCAGTGTTGGCCTTTGCGTGTGCATATCGGCTGGGCGGTTTTCAGCTTGATAAGCCTGCCGAAACACCACAATAGCGTTTACTTCGGGGTACTTAAGGCACAACGGGTGGGGGGACGATCAAGCGCTAAGTGGGGTTATAGCTCTCAACGAGAGCAATTACATGAGCTTTTATTAATTATTTCTTAATATTTATTACATGTAAATGCAGATTTTGAAACCATTACCGTCGATATCTTGCAAAACTGCAGTATTCCCCCGCCTGACGAAGCAAGGCGGGCAGTCTCTCTTGCTCGGGTCCATCCTGTTCAGAGAGCCCCGCTTGTGCGCTCTACTCGAGCTGTAAAAAACAAATACAAAAATTTCACGTAATTTGTAATTATCACCGCTGTACTTCAGCTAATGAGTCATTACTGCAGCTTTTTTGCACTTCAACATGGAAGTTCGCCATATTCCGTCCTCATTATCCAACTTGCCATCAAGCCCGCACCTCGACCCCAGTACCAAGACCAGCGATGGCCAAGCAGCGACACAGCCGTGACCACTCCGCCAAGAAGCAAGTCGCGGCCCAGCGCCCCGCAGCCGAGCCTGAAATCGAGATCGAGCCCGCGGTCATCCCCCAGCTGCTCATGACAGCGTGCTGCAAGGGCTTCACCGATCTGGCGGCAACTCTGCTGGAGGGCGGCGTGCCCACGAGCGTCAAAACTGCGGACGGCCGCACGCCGCTCATGGCCGCCGCCCTGTACAACCACCCGGACGTGGCGAGGCTGCTGCTGAGTCGAGGCGCGTCCGTGGATGACCAGGTGTTCGACGGCTACTCGGCGCTGCTGCTGGCCAGCGAGAACGGACACGCCGAGTGCGTGCGCCTGCTACTGGAGTACGGCGCCGACGTAGACCAGACCAACAAAGGCGGCTGGACGGCGCTCATGGTGGCGGCGCAGAACGGCCACAGTCGAGTGGTAACGACACTGCTGCCCAAGAAGCCCAAGCTCGACATGCAGCGTCCTAACCGGTGCACGGCGCTTTACATCGCCAGCGAGCACGGCCGCGCAGAGGTGGCGGAGCTGCTGGTGATGCATGGAGCGAACATTGAGACCCCGGAGGTGCGAGGGTGGACGCCGCTCATGGCTGCGGCCTGGAAGGACCACTCGGACGTGATCAAGGTGCTGCTCAAGCACGGAGCGGCCATTGATAAGCGCCAGGATGACGGAGCCACGCCGCTCTGGATTGCATCCGAGCACGGGCATCTTGAGTGTGTGCGCGTGCTGTTGGAGCACGGAGCTGATATGGAGATCGCGGACAAGACGGGCTGGACGCCGCTCACGGCGTCGGTGAAGGGCGGACGTGCTGATGTCTTGAAGCTGCTGCTCGAAAAGGGGGCGGATATGGAGAAGACGCTGCCGAAGAACGTGACACCGCTCTACCTCACGTGCGAGACGGGAAACCTCAAGCCGCGGCATTCGACATGGCCATTTCCAACCACGACGCCTGACCCATCCTGGCTGCCATGTAGTATCTTCGAAAAGCGCCGACTACTGCGCGAATCCACGCGCTGTGAGGCGAAATGGGGAACTCCATCAGTTCTGCGAGATGCGCCGCAGCAAGGCCAACTACAGTCAACGTCGACTCGATCAGAGGAGCAGCAGTTGGCTCGTTTAAGCCAAAGTTGGACACCAAGCAGGAGGATCATACTAATATATTTAACTTACGGTTTACAAAATTGTCCAGGTCTGGAATGTCCTAAACCAGGTTATCAGCGCCGACGCCCAGGGTGGTTCTGGTGGCTATACGTGGCTCGCCTCATAGCGAGGTGTCTCTAATAGATCCTGCTGGAATAGCCCCAAACAGTGTAATAGACGTGTTCCTTGTATTATGGTCCACGGATTCCGTCATTCTCGTTTCGCTAATGCTCGGAGTTGAAGTAGTCCAGCAGCTACACTGCTTTCAACCGTGACTGTACTACCTTGATGGACCACTCGATTTCTCTGTAGCCACAAAACTGTCATGCAAACTGTACTGAGGATCCACCAAATTCGTTTTCACTCTTGCTCGTACTCCGCAACGTCGTCTTGGAATGCACGGCTGAGTCGGTAACTGAGTTCCGACGATAACGGAGGAGGCGCTCGTGATGCACAACTTGTCATGAAGCACTGGAGATGCGGGCCCTAGTTGTCATGCTTGAGCACATGGACACGTCCAGAAAATATGGCTGAGCGTCTCTTCTTCGTTCTGGCAGCTCTGTAATTTGCGGCAGCTATTGTCCTCTGCCTTCCTTCGAAAAAGAGATTGAGCGGTCGTGTAGCGATCCTGCAGCTGACCACGCTTGATATTCCGTGAGTGCATTCTTGTGGGCCCATAATGTCCGAGGCGTCTGTTGCATTGCTCCGTGACTCCACTCATCTCTGCTCCCTGCTTGCTCGAGGCGCTCGACGATCGGACGTAGTTCTCGTCCAGGTTCGATACCAAGATCAGATACGGAACAACGGTGGAGGGAGCGGGTCAAAGAATTGAGTTCGCGTTCGACGACAATATATGGCCGATCTGAGTATTTATGGGACCTGTCGCGAGTCGCCCTGGAAGGGACGGCTGCCGCTGCGAGAACGAAGTAGGACGGTACGGACAGGTAAGGAACGGTATGAAATTCAACAGAGTCAAATACAAAGATTCAACTTGTTGTTTCCACGGCAAATTCACGACCGACCAACCTACCCGGCACGGAGAACTTCGCCCCGCGCACTCTCTTGCTTCTCTTCAACTTGATCGTTGACACACCGCCGCCCGAACCCATGGTCACCTCCTTTCACCCCTCCTCCCTTGGCTCACGTCAAGGCTCACGCCCCGAGCCACGCAGCGTCCGTGACCTCCATCCTGTCTCCTCCCCTCACGGCCAACTCGCGGAACACGCCACTGCTTCCATCACGACTCTTCGTCCACGCAACGGGCCCGCCGCCAGCCAATCCTCGCTAAAGTCCGATGACGGCTCAGTCAGCTCATCCTCGAACAGCTGATCCTCGAGTAGCAGTCCACGCGCTGATTGACAGGGTGCCGGAGGACGGCTACGACCGTACCCGAGACGGTGACCACCGTTCCCACTCGGGACATCCTCCCCGACTGAGACTCGACGTCCTCGTCGAGCGTCCTCTTCCTCCTTGGCCGTCTTCATCTTCGCGCGCAGGGCACGTTGCTCCGCCCTCAGCCCGCTCAGGGTACGCACCGGCTTCGGTTTTCCGACACACCCGTCCGCACGCCAGAATGCTTCACTCAGGCGTTCGGCTTGCTGCAATTCCTCGACGTCACGGAGCCAGTCGGCGTAGCTCTCCTCCGCCATCTTCGCAGGTGAACGCACTCCCGACGCCGCCTCGTAGCACTTCAGCAAGTGGCTGGCGACCCCAGTCGCCGCCACCACGCAGCTCCACTGCATCACGACTGCATCAGGGCTCAACCCACCGTCGGCAGCATAGACGTGCAAGGGCACGCGCCAATCAAGCAACGAGCCCGGGGATACCACTACGGCATCTTAAGAAGCTGTATGAGCTGCTGAGGGGGCTGCTCAAGGCCGGACTCGTGTCTTTCTCTGACAGCCCGTGGGCATCGCCGATCGTCATCGTCCTGATAAAGAACGGGATCGACATTCGACTGTGCATCGACTACAAGCTGGTCAATGCCATCACAGCGATCATGGAATTTGCCATGCCACTCGTCGATGACTTGTTGACCGACCTAGAAGGATACCTCTGGTTCTGCTCACTCGACGCTGCGAGTGGATTCTGGGCCATCATGATGACGCTACGAGCGCGCAAGATCTCGGCCTTCGTCTGCCCGCTGGGACACTTCGAGTGGCTTCGCATGCCTTTCGGCCTCAAGAACGCGCCGATGATCTACCAGCGCATGATCGACAACGCGTTGTGGGGTCATGTCCAGCCGAAGGGAGGTTGGAAGGCCTTTGCGGAACAGATGGGAGCTGCCAAAGCCGAATCAGCACGTCTCCGACGACTCGAGTCGTCGAGATACCTGCAAAACCCTTCCACAGCGTCCCGCACGATGACTCGCAGGCACTAGATCCTGTCTTGCTGCTGATCAACAGCCCGGATGCAGACATGTTTGCGACCAACGAGCCCGACGACTCGTCACTGGTTCCGGTGTTTGATCGCCGATCGTTTGTGGATGACATATGCTTCGGAGGTGAGAGCTTCGAAGACTGTCTTGCCACGCTGAACCGGCTCTTGAGCCGATTTGAGGAGTGCCGGATCAGCGTCAGCTTCACCAAGAGCATATTCGTGCAAGGAGGCGTCGATTTCCTGTCGCACGAGATCTCGCGAGATGGGATGCGCGCAGACCCCAAGAAACTGGACGCAATCACGAAGCTGTCGTTCCCTCGGACAAAAAAGTGGATGCAGTCCTTCCTCGGAGCGCTGAATTACTACAGCCGGTTTATCCAAGACTTCGCAGTCTATGGAGCCGCGCTGTACCAGCTCAAGGACGACGACTTCGCGCCCGGGGATGACCTCGCTGTAGCCCGCCGCAGCTTCCAAGCACTTCAGCAGAAGGTGGCGGCGGCGCCGATCTTTCGGCACTTCGATAAGAAGAAGGACGTGCACGTGATGCTTTACGCGAACGAATGGGCAGTCAGCTCGACATTGCTCCAGACGCACGACGACAAACTGCACCGTATGCGCTTCTGTGGTCGCGTCTTGAAGAACGCAGAAATAAATTACCATCCTGCAGAAAAGGAGGCGTTGGCTCTACTCCAGCTCCTGAAGACCTGCTATACGCAGCTAGCGGGACGGACCATCCGCGTGTACAGCGGTTCTCAACGTTGGAATGGATCACCAAGTCCAAGTCACTCTTCGGGAGAGCGGTGCAATTCGCCGTGTTGCTTTCCCCGTGGCACTTGATCGTCCAGCGCGTGAAGGAGAAGGACTGCGTATTTTCACAACTGCTCCAGTCGACGGTAACCAACTTTGTGGACCTCGATGACTCGCTGGACCTGGTTGCTCCACCAACGAAAGGCCCGCCGACGACTCGTATGGACCCAAACCTCCTGTACGCACGTCTCCCGAAGACTCACACGGGGTTTGTGGTCTCCTTTGACGGCTCCGCGAAGACCGAGAAGTATGGTGGATATGGCAGTTGTTCGTGGATCGTGTGGCGCCTACCAGAATGGACAATAGTGATTGCGGCGAGGGCTTACCTTGAGAAGACGACTGTTAATCTTGCGGAGTGCACTGGCATCACCAACGGAGTCCTTGCAGCTTTGGACCATGGCGCCGAAGACTTGGTCATCGTCGGGGACTCGAGGCTCGCGATCCAGCAATCCCTAGGGGTGATCGCATGCCGGAAGGAGTCGCTGATTACTCAGCTGAGTCACCATAAGGAAATCACGGCACGACTGCGGTCAGTCAAGTACCTGCACATGGTTCGAGAATTCAATGCGGCCGCAGACTCATTGGCGTCGGAAACACTTGAATCCAAGACGTCGAAGGTGGTCCTGAGTGAAACTCGGAAGGCAGAGCTCTGCGAACTGAACCGCATCCAGGAAGTGATCTATGAGTCGACGCGAGATGAAGCAACAGTGCAAAACCATGTTCCTGGAGGCTCTATTCAAATTGCGGACGGATACGAGGTCACCAAACCCAGGATATTCGCTGATTTCGTGCGCAAAGAACCTTTCAGGATCATGGCGATGACTCGTTCACAAGCTAGATCGAAGACGAAGCGAGTCCGATTTGCGGACGACAGTACCAACGAGACGCCACCCAAGCCGATGACTCAAACCGACAAAGAGCACACTGATGAACGACCATCGAAAGCAGCTCAAGCACCGCCCGCAGCGCCAAACGCAGAAGACATTGACCCCGTCGATGTCCAAGTGGAGAGGCGACGGCGCATAGCAGCCGCTCAGGACGAGGAACTACGGTGGGCAAACCTGAAAACAGTCCTCCGAGGCGAGGTCGAGAAGCTCGGGTACAGGGCTGCACGAGATGCCTGGAAAATTGCGGACACGTTCGTTCTGTCCGACGACGGAGTACTCTACAATGTGAATTCGAGTCGTCGAGACACGTCTGGAGAGCAAGAGGAGATCAAGCTGCGTCTCGTGGTACCCACCACAATGATTCAAGAAGTGTTGCAGAACTGCCATGACTCGCTAGAAGGCGGGCACCAAGGGGTAGTGCGGACCTACCAGCGAGTCAAGCGGGATTACTATTGGTTCGGCCTCTACACAGACGTCGAGAAGCATGTGAAGTCGTGCCCGGACTGCAGCACCAGCAAAAGCCGACCACAGTTGCGAGGGTATTCTCCCGGCAACGTGTTGGCAGAGCGACCACTCCAGATTGTGTCCATGGACTTCGTAATACCGCTCCCGATGACTCGGAGAGGCAACACTGCCCTCCTCCTATTCCAATGTGCGTTCACGGGATTTGTGATCGCCAAGGCAATGTCGGACACGACAGCGCTCAAGGTAGCCCAAGCTTTCGAAGAGTGTATATACCGACGATTCGGAGCACCTTCGTTGGTTAGACACGACCGGGATCCTCGCTTTATGAGCGAGGTGTTCCAGGCCCTTGCCGAAATGATGCAGTCAAGGTCGCGGGCTACGCTGAGTTATCGGCCCCAAGCCAACGGGCAGCAAGAGAGGTCGGTGAAGACGGTGATTCAATCCGTGAGAGTGTACGCCGAAGACCCGCTTCAGCAGGATTGGGGCGAGATCGTGGAACGGTTCGTCTTCGCGATCAACAACTCACAAGACATGACACGGAAGGAAACTCCATTCTTCCTCGTCCATGGATGGGACGCTCAGTCGATGTTGAAAGCGATGTCGACCTCGCTCCGCAGGGGCAGTAGCAGACAATCCGACGCGCTGGCGTGGCACCGGGACGTCAACCGACAACTCCAGATTGCACTCGAGATGGCCAAGGAATACCAAGCGACTGAATAAGCCCGCCGAGCACGCGAACATAACGAAGCACTGAGCCGGAAGGAGAGAGCAACCATCCCGACGACTGGCAGGAACAAGTCGTCGATAGCAACGCCAACCAATCAGGACGCGGACTCAGACCCCTCAAGCAACGCGCCGATGTCTCTATTCGAGCCGGGTAGTCGCGTATGGCTGTACATGGAACGTGTCAAGCCGGGGCCGGCCAAGAAGCTGGCCCACCGCTGGCACGGCCCGTTCCGGATCAAGAAGAAGGTCGAAGAGTACGCCTACGAGCTCGAGTTGCCGAACCGGAACGGCTATCGGTTTTACCCGGTAGTCCATGTCTCGCGGTTGAAGCCGGTGAGTGAATTCAAAGACCGCCCAAAGACTCGACTGGCGCCTGACATCACCGAAGACTCCCGGCTGGACTTCGACGAGGAATTACTCCCCGAAGACAGCTGGGAACCTGATAGTCTGGCCGGTGAGAGCGAAGTGTTGGAGATTCTGGATGATCGGATGCCCATGTCAACAAGAACGGGACGCTCAGTGCGTGAATTCAAGATCAAGTGGGCAGATCAGGACGAGCCCACGTGGGAACCAGTCACCCACCTCTCCTGTGGGGGTCTTCTCTACGACTACCTGAGGCGCAAGCGAAGCGAGCAACGCCTTCAAATGGTACACGTCGTGGACGAAGATTAGAGCTCGCTCGCGACGCCTCAAAGATGATGAACTACGCCTGGGGCAACGCAGCTCAGGAGGGTAGACCAAAATGACTACTGCGGAAGATGGTGGCCTGTACCTTGGGCAATGCAGCCCAGAAACGCAGACGAAGACGATTACTGCAGAAGACTTGCATGATTTTTATTTTTTTGAAAACTGGACATGACGATCTGGAAGAAGAATCCAGAAAACCTAAATACCCCAAGCTGAACGCACCTACGACTACAACCGTGAAAACTCAAACAGCTTGGGTGAAAGAAACACCTGCACCCGACGACTCACCGTTCCTAGTCGTCACCATCCTCGCGAGCGTCACCCTGCAACTCACAGAAGCTGCAGCCTGCGCCAGCACCTGGAGGTGGTCCGAGTTGTCGAGAGCCACGTGAGAAGTAGCTGCAGACGCCGGAGGCTCGCTTGGCTCAGGACCCAAAGACTCGTCGGAAGCTTGGGCAGGTTCACGGAAACCAGCATCCCAATCAGCCGCGATCTCGTTTGGCGTGAGGTCGGGACAATCGACGATCTGGCGCCCGACTTCCTCGCGCGTGGTGTTTGCAGGGACGAACAGCGGAAACCTTGGATTGCAGGGGAAGAACGTCGTGTTGTACGGATGCTGGGCAGGAACATCCACCCAGCCATTACGCCACGGCTCAGCCGCGTCCAACGCCGAAATCTCGCTGAACCAGTCGGTCGTCTTCGGCAGCCACGTGAGGTTGTCGAAAGGGCAACCCAGCATAGAAGGCTCAAACAAAGACTCGGTGTGGAGAGCAGCAAACTTCGGTTCCTTGCTGACAAACCACCTCCAGACCTGGTAGATGATCTTGGCTCGGAACCGATTCCAGCGCTTGTTCCGCTCGGCAGCATACGCCAACCACTCAGCCTTGGCCTCGTCCAGCTCAGCTCGAACTTTGGCCTTCGCCTCAGGGGACCAATTATTCCCTTCCAGCTCCTTGGTAGCGATCCGGAAGCAATTCTCCACGGCGGGAGCCGGAATCCAGTGGTAACGCTCCCAATCCGAGAACCCAAGATCAATGTCGACTGGATCCCCGTACCCTCGAAAGTTGCTCCAATACCCGTTAACTCGAGTCGTCGGGGGCGCTCGCTGGGAGACCTTGACAGAAGGATCAAATCCACGGGTGTAGAACAAACATGCGCGCTCCGGGAGACGCCGGCGAAGCTGCTGCCAAGGGTGGTCCGGGTTCTTGAAGTCTTTAAGCGCCTTGATACCAGCAGCCGTGGCAGCAATCCGAGCATCCCCGGGAATAGGAGTCGGCAACTCGCAATTCAAAATCTGGATCCAGCACTTAGAAGCGCCAGGAAACCGGAATTCAGGAGCCAAGTATGGAGTGGCCCAGTTCAACACGTGTTTTGAGTAACGAGCAGTGGGCAGCACATCTCGGGCTGCAGGCGAGGCACACAGAGAGCGCGCAGAACTTGAACTTGGTCCTGGGCCGATAACTGCGTAGTGACGACTTGGCGCGATGACAACTTATGGCGAGACTTAGCCGGTTTCTTACCTCGGGCACGAGTCGTCGGAACCTACTGAGATGCCGCATTTGCAGGCCGGTGAGCCGATGAGACAGCGACCGAGGTGTCCGCCGACTCAGCAGAAGCTGCAGGACCAAGCGGACGAGAAGTCGATGACTCAGCGCTGGCAGGAGGCAGAGCTGGCGCAGGTGACGAGAGATCAGTGGAAGCCGATGACGACAGACCGTCAGCAACCGGAGGTGACGGAGCTGGAACTACAGCAACCACCACAACGCGCTCTCCCTCCCACTCGTCGAGTTCCTCCTCATCAGCAGAAGCAGCACCGCCATCAACCACTGAGTCGTCAACCAGACCCTCCGTCAATCCAGCATCCGAGCCATCTCCGAACCACTGAGGCACCTCCGGAGACTGCTCGACTGAAGCTAACTGCTCGTCCGTCCCTCCGCGATCAGCCCGATGACTCAAGCCACCAACTTGTGGATCATCACCGGAACCAGAGACTGGGACAACAGCTTGGACAGGAGTTTCCGCAGAAGCAGCAGGCGGCGCAGAACCAGGAACAGAGGGCGCAGTAGCCTTCGCGACTGGAGCAGGACTCGTGGGCGGAGAGACACTGGAACCGATGAAGCGCCGTAGCCCGGAGAGCCGCGAGGCACCGACGCAGAACGACTTCGTGCCCAGCGAGACTCCTTCCGCTTCTTGGGCAACTTCTTGGGCTTCTCCGACGACTTCATCACGGGAGACGATGACACCGATGACCCAGCCGATGACTCGGCAGAAGTCTTGCGAGCCTTCGACCCTGAGCGACTCGGTCGAGCTGGGGAAGCAGCAGCACTGACGTAGCCCGAGTCTTCGCGAGACCTTTTGCGGGACGAGAACCGTGGAGAAGACGATGACCGACGCGACGCGCGAGATTTCTTGACTGCAGTGGCAGACGTCCCCGGAGTGGTCTTGTTTGCACCAGCGAGAGTGTCCTTGCGCAAGGGATCCCCGATGGAGTCATTCAGTGAGAAGGCAGTCCGAGCCAAGTCTTCGGCGATATCTCTGTCCGGCTTGGAGCAGTCTGCTGTACGATACTGCTTCTGCAAAATCGCGAGAGACTCGGGAGTAAGATCCAGCAAGCTCCAATTGAGTTCACCAGTCGAGATACCTGCAAGCAAGATGTGTCATCGGGACAAAGCCAGCAAACATAAACCAAATGACGACCAAATGGAGACTACGAACCTTCTACGGCGAGGACCAGGACGTCGGGGTCCATATCTTCCAGCTGCACGTGAGCGCGAAACGTCTTGTTGGCACGGGGGAGCCGCTTCACTTGCTCTTCGAGGTCCTCATTGCGGCGGCGATGGCGAGCTGGTGCGGTGTCATCGGCGGCGTCTGAGCGAGCCAGCAGATTGTGCAAGCGCCTGCTTTGAGCAGTCGACGAAGCAACGGCCGCCTTGTAGACCTCCTGCTCACGTTTCAACTGAGCTAGAGCCCGGGCTTGTGAGTCTTCGGCCACCCTGACACGATTCTCCTGCCGCTCGGAACACTCTCTGAGGCCATCCACGGCGGCGTTCGACGACTCGAGCTCGACGATGTAATGAACCTCCAGCTGACGAAGATGCGCGACATCCTTCTTCAGCTGTGCGATCCCGTCGTTTGCGTTCTTCAAGAATACCTTCTGGTTCTCCAAAGAGTACGTCTGCGACCGCAACCGATTCTCTGCAGCAGCCTCCGCTGACTCAGCAGAGTGCAGCCGGGCGCGCATAGTTGCCATGTCCAGCGTCGAGCCTTCGCCAACATCCATGTTTGGCTCCGCAGCAGTAACCACTTCATCGAGGTTCCGGGCCGACGCCAGGCGAGAACCCACGCGGCGATCACCACGGATGCTCGGTCCCAGCTGCAGGTTCACCGAGAGACGGCCGAGAGACTCCAGCTTCGAGCCCAGCACCGCCAAGATGCGCTCCGACGACTCATCACATGCATCACGGACCAGCTGCTCCAGGGCGTCGCGACGCATAACTTGACCACGACCGCGCGAGTTGTCGGGAGCAGGCTGAGAAGAACCAGGAGACCCAGGGCGAGATTTTGCCAGGGTTCCCGAAGACTCGTGGCCACGCATAGCCTCGATAAGGCACGCCACCAGCCGACTGCAGATATAAGCAGACGCATCAACGAGAACAACGTCAGCACGAGTGAAAAGAATAGAGACGCATGCAGAGACAGGGTACGCACCTGTGCGGCATCGCCTGGACGCGGAGAACCGGCAGCCGTCGACCCAGCGCGAGCCGAAGACGATGACCGAGCAGGCGAAGACGCAGCAGAAGCCTGGCCGGAGAGGCCGCCACCAGAACTCGACGCAGTGGGAGCCTGCCGCCAGCAGACGCGTGAGGGTGAGCAGTCGACGGCACGAACAGGAGACCGAACGCAGCACATACCATGTCAGCGGGATCGACGCCGAGCGCCCGGAACGCGCGGGCCAGCGCAGCCTTCGCGGCGCGAGACGACCCAGCCGTGGTAGCGCGAAGTCGCCGGGAGCACCCTAACGCTCACCAAGTGCTGTGGCTCGTGACACGGTGTGGACAGCTGCGGTGTCGAGAAAGTTGAGTGAAGCTCACGGCAAGCCCCGCGGCATTCGGCGTCGACTCAACTGGCGGATCGAGGCACATCGCCATTCGATCGATGGTGTTCGACGGCCGCGGATTGGCCAGTCTGGACCAATGACGATGATTCGTCGACACTCGAGCTCAAGCCGTGGTGTATCCACACAACACCGGAACTTCAAGGACGACCCGAACCTACGGCGAACTTTGGCCTGGGTTCCGCACCTAAGACGACTCTTCGAGTCATCGGGAGGCCGTCCGAGCCTTCAAGAGAGTTTTGAAGAGTCGGGTGGTTACCTGGAAGATCCACAACGGACACGTCTAGACTAGATATTTGTATTGAACCATAGGAAAGAGAAGATAGAACAGATAAGCCCTTTGGGCAACAATGACAGAACAGCTTTTCCTCCCAACCACTCAAGGAAGACGTCCGGGCTATCGGTGAGTTCCCGTAGCAATTGGATAAACCTGTTGGTTGGATTATGACTGTCGGTGGACGCGCCTGCTAGTATCGTAGCGTGCGTTTACCCGTGGTCAGGCCAAGAGTAGTGAAGAAGTGGCCGTGTATACGAAGGGCGAGTCATCGCCGTGTAGTGGAGGAGCGAGAGCGCACTCCATTTATCCTTCCCGTCGGAGTATAGCTCCGGCACCCTCGTATCAAGCCGTGACTGGCTGGGACCCTTCCTTCCTGAGAGCCTGCGATGTTTATATTGTGTGTGAGAGTATGTCAGCCTTTGCTCGTGGCTGGTGACGCTGGGTTTCCGTCAGTTGACTAAGCGGAAACACGGTGCACAGAGGAAACATCAACCCGGTGCAAGGGAAAGTTCCTGGGCCTTCAGGTTCTAACCCTAACAAGCCCATTGAGTCATCGGGACTTGGTGGGTGTTGTTCGTGGGGAAAGTGTGCTATTATATAATTTAGTGCGTGTTCCTACACGACATTTGGATACCTGCATGTTAGTATAGGTGGCATTCTGGCCCATAACGAGCTCTGGTTCGAATGTAGACGAAGCGATGAGTTGCGTAAATTAAAATAAAAAGAGAGAGCGATCTATCTACCTGTTGGATGAGCAAATGCCGCTCATTTCGCGAAACTCTGACGATTGACTACTAAGGATTCGCGGGTGCTGGAATAGCTCGTCCAGACTTGTCTAATCCGCATTGCAAGCGAATTCGGTGTGCCGCACATGCTGCGCACCAGGCACTCTCTGGATACTTTCCCCACTCAATACGATAGTGGCATCAAAGCAGGGTTCTGCAGTAGCTTTAACTCTCTCTCTCTCTGTATATCTAGCTAGCCTAGCTCCCAGGCCGAAATGAGACACTGGTCATCCTCAGTATCTTCTTGACGTAGTTCAAGAACTCGACTTAGCCAACTGTCAGCAATCGTTTTATTTAGCATCTATTCATTCTTGTCAACAACGTATCTTGCTTCTGTAATGTTCATCAATTGATTTCTGAAGCCTTATTAACAGAAATGGCTCCAAGTCGGGCTCGCATACAAAACTAACTTGCGATTTGAACATGTTTCGCTGAGATCGAACCATTATTGCTGGTAAATACCAGTTTCAGGGGTCAAATTTTGACTAATTCGACCTGTGTACTCCCCCGAGCGTTCGCTCCGGGTCGCCTATGCTTGGCCCCGGCAAAAGAACTTGTAACTTTCCAAAATCGGGTACCAAACCGGGTCTCCCTTTCTTAATTGTAATGTTTAAGCTAATATCTGCCGGAATCGGGTATCCGTCGATAAATGCTAAGATTTATGCACATTTTTTTCCAACGGCTGATACTAATCGTTTATTATTGACCAAAACCTGCATTCAAACACTTACGGACGCTCTAGTACACTATGAGAGCGCCATGACTTCGCTGAAGGCGTATCAATTTGCGCCATAATCGACCAAGCTTAGCTGAAGATAAACAACACGACTTGTCTAGCTGCAGGCTGCATTTTTTACATGTCAATTTGCACAATACCCAATCACTCTTAGCCGAAGATGCCCAACCTCGTGTCTGTCGCCAAACCAATTGTTCATGAGTCTTCGGGAGCGCCGCCAATAGGTGCACATGGACGAGGAGAACGTGTGGACATATCCGCCGATGACTCGGAGGATCCGACGGCAACAGGAGAGCCGGCGGCAGCCGGGCTCTGGGTACACCAATGACTGGTCAGGGAGACCCATATATACTGAGATCAAGTCAAGCGGAAACCGGGAGTAATCCGTCTGATGAGAGGCACCAACGAGCACAAGGAGAACAAGAAGGAAAGCAGGAGGGGAAGACTAGAGAGTAGTTTGAGAGACGATAACATTTAATATCACTTCGGAATTTGCCCCCACAACCACAAGCTACAAACCAACAGGTGAACAGCCGCAACAAGCTCAAGCCCTCTCCGACGACCGACATGACGACGTCCAGCAAGAAGGCCGAAGTCATCCTAGGAAGTGACAATTACTTCCACTGGGAGTTCGCGATGCGTATGACGCTCGCGAGGAAGGGGCTGCTGGCGCACGTCCAAGTGGTGAAGGACCCGACGGAGATGACGGAGGCCTGGATGCTCAACGACATGAAGGCGCTCGGTCTGATCGCTCAAGGCGTGGCTGTGGAACACCACACGAAGATTCGGTCGGCGACGTCGGCTATCCAAGCCTGGAATACTCTACGCGAGTTCTACAACCGGACGACGATGCATAATCGGGTCACGATGACTCGTCGGCTCCACGAGTTCAAGATGGAGGACGGTGCGACGATGGCGAAGCACCTGGACAAGTTCGACGAGCTCATCGTGGGCCTTCAGACGCTTGGAGAGCCCCTCGATGACTCCCGACAACTCGTCATCCTGCTGAGCAGCTTGCCGGGGGAGTACGAGTTGATCGCATCCATCGTCGAGAACTCGAAGGACGTGACCCTCATCGAGGTGAAGGAGAAGCTGCTCAAGGAGTACGAGCGGCAGGAGAAGAAGGAGACCACGGAGCGCGCGTTGAAGGCTACCTCGTTCGGAGGTAGGGGCCAGAAGGGGAAGTTCGGCAAGGGCGGCAAGGCATTCGGCCGCAAGCGCAACGGCGGACGAAAGGTCGGTGGCTTCAAGGGCAAGTACTTCAACTGCGACCAAGTGGGCCACATAAAGCGGGACTGCCCGGAAAAAGCAAATGGAGACACCGCCGAAGACTCGGTGTTCGCTGTGGCGGAGAATCCATCGGCGGGTTGGCTGATCGATAGTGGGGCGACGGCTCACATGACGCCTCACCGCGATGCCTTGTTCGAGTACAACGAGTCGTCGGCGGACATGTATGTGACAATCGCGGACGGGAAGAAGATCCGCGTGGCAGGGAAAGGGTCGGTGCGCCTAACGGGCATCGACGGCAAGCGCATCAAGATGGTGGAGGTGCTCCACATCCCCGGACTCGACCGGCGACGGTACTCTCGGTTGGGAGGTTGGCTGAACGCGGCATGAGTGTCGAGTTCCAGCGGAAGTCGTGCGTCATCTGGGACAAGACGAAGGCGGTCGCTTCGGGGAAGAAGGTCGGCAAGGCGTACTTGCTGGACTGCCAGCAGGACATGGTGTATTACACCGAGTACTCGGGAGTCGACGGGAAGTGGGAGCTATAGCACGCTCGTATGGGACACTTGAACGGAGACGCTATGGCAAAAACCCGCGAGGCGACTGACGGGTTCCCGACGACTCAACAGCAGACGAAGATCCTGTGCGGAGGATGCATGAAGGGCAAGCAGACGGTCGCACATTTCCCGTCGCGGTCGACGTCGGCGACGACTCCACCGCTGGAACTAGTTCAAACGGACGTGATGGGTCCTATGAAGACGAAGTCCAAAGGCGGAGCGAGGTATGTGCTCACATTTGTCGACGACTACTCGCGACACGTCGTGGTGTACTTCTTGACCAAGAAGAGCGAGGTCGTGACCAAGTTCAAGTCGTTCATGAAGCTGTACGAGAACCAATGGGGACAGCGCAATAAATGTCTGCGCTCGGACAACGGCACTGAGTTCGTGAACACGCCGATGACTGAGTTCTGCCGGGTGAATGGGATTATGCTTCAGAAGACGGTCCCGTATAGCCCCCAGCAGAACGGCGTGGCGGAGCGGATGAACCGCACGATCATGGAGAAGGCTCGAAGCATGCTACACTACAAGGGCGTGGCTTCGATATGGTGGGCAGAGGCGGTCAGCACTGCTGTCTACCTGATCAACCGGTCGACGAACAGCATGCACCCGACCAAGACTCCGTACGAGTTGACGTTCAAGTCAAAGCCTCGGCTGGATCATCTTCGAGTCTTCGGGTCGATGGGTTACGCTCATGTCGATAAGTCGCGACGCACCAA